ACCACTCAAGTCTGTACTTCTAGGACTGGGGGGAACAGCAGTTCCTGACAAAGTAGGAAATAAATTAAAACAAAAAGGGAACACAGTTCAACAGAGTTGAGTGAGCAGGAAAAGGCAAACATCCCAATATTTTTCAATAAAAGTGGGAGTAGATCACAGAGTCTCGGGCATGATTTCTAATCTTTGGTAGAGAAGTTGGACAAGCCTCGTCTTTATTAAGCCGGATAAATTTGGAAACATAGCTTTGTACCTATGGTGAGGGTCCCCAATGGAGTTCTTCAATCACGCGATCCCGACTACAATTTTCTCTTAATCCCGTAATCCTGACGGTTTATACCGGCTAACGCCGATCCCAATCATACAATTTTGTCTTAGTCCATTTCCTAAACTTAGAAGGGCCTTTCCAGTGGGTGATGATTTTCTTAACCAGCATTGATCCGTTGAAGTCTATTGTCACCGTCAGGCGTGAGTTTAGCTCTTTTCACCAAAAGGATGATATCGTTCATTTTAAAAGTTTTCAAACTTTTTCACGAATAAAGTACGCTAGTTACGGTAACGACTTCCTTTCATTAAATTTCGATCACGGACAAACGTATGGGTACAAGCAGGTCAGTATCAAAGAAACGAATAACAATTTCAACAAGTGCATAAACCACAAAAGGTCACGGCAATCCCATGGTTTTATAACAACGGAGATTAAGAAAAATTAACTGAACACAATTCTTCTGTTGAAGCGAACACTTCTTCCGAGGCGGGAATCTCTTCCGAGGTAAAAATCAGCCTCTCGTTCCAAAGATGGAATGTCATCATCACTCGGGGAATCGTACTCCAATATTCCATCTTCCTCCTAGTCTTGTTTCCCGCTGTTTTCTTGCTACTCCTCCTCGAAGTCAGAGCGTTCGAGGCTGACCGGTTCGACCGGCTGAATTTTTCTCTGATAAAGGTACGACGGGAAGTTCCAGCTCTTGCCATCGTTGTTTCCTGTTTGACAGAGAGCTGACGCGCTGCTGCAACAAATGTTTCCGCCAAGTCCCTCATCTTCTGTATGCTCTGTGGTGCCTTCGGCACAGGTGGTAACGGTTGGATTGCTGGTATGGCCGACAGGATCCTGGCATGTTCGGGTACAGGATACCAAGGATTTGGATTTGTTAAATAGTACGCCGCCCAATGGATTGTCCTGATTAGGCCTTGGGTTACATTTCCAAAGTTCCTTGGGTAGTCTAACACCGTGAAAAGTTTATCTTTGTGATGCACAATCGAGTGAATATTCTTCACATGTAGTCGGTCATGTAACTCAACAGGTTAAGAGCATCATATCGGTATAATTCTGAGACTTGCAGGAGGTCTTTCAACGCCGTTAAGCATTCCAATTAACGCAGCAGTCCTAGACTACGTTTTTCTGTGGGCCATTGAGGATTTTTGATAAATTGGCAACTTCGCTTCTGATATAATTTTCATTCCCGCGCAATAACTTAAGAGTGTCGCTGAGCAGCCCCACCGCCTCTTGAATGCTAGAGAGCCTGTGTGCTTGGTGCTTTTCATGACTGAGAAGATAAATTTCTTCATAAATCCTCGTCAACGGACATCCCAGTTCTAGGTTCGTTTAAGTGACTATTTCCCGAATCCTGCTCCTCAAAATTGCCGATTCCCGTGTCCCGTTCATAAGAGCAATCCCGCATCTCGCTCTCTTCTTACTTTAAATTCCCGAATCCGGACTTTAAATGAGCCTAATTTTGCCCTCGATAACTCGAAGTCAATTTTCACTTTTGCGGACTAATGAGCCATAACATTTTGCACCAAAAGATTACATTTAGTGACATTTACATATTGAGACACCTTTGTCGAAATCACACCTTTGTATGTCCGTGAACAAACAGTTTTTACAGTTCATCCCGGCGAAGAGAAATAATGGCGCGTAGTTTGGAATCGATCAAGTGTTTCTGGTCTTTCTGTTCAAACCCCTCCGACTCGAAACCCCGATAACTCGAAGTAATTTCAATTGCCCTTGGTAATTCGAGTTACCGGGGTTCAACTATAATCTGAGTAGATTGTCCAGCGAATAGACAAACCTATTCAAAAACGCTCTTAAAGCGGATTTAACTGAAAACACCGACTGTGGAGATTTACAACTTTCAATCTTCCATTGTTTGCGATCTCGTGTCCCATTCACACAGCCATGTCGGGTAGATTTCATCCAGTCACTCCCATGATCTGAATATCAATTCTCCACATTGGCCGTGTACATTTCTTTAACTCTACCCATGGGAATTTGGGGCGAGTGTTAAATCAAACAGTGTCCCCTGGTTGATATTTTTCTCACTTATCACTGACTTTCGGCATTAAACTGTCTTGATCTCGAGAGAAGAAATTTCTCTCTGGGGCGCGAAAGGAAAATTTCTGCCACCAATTTTATCCGTTGTAGTATGGAAATGGTTAGTAGTGACCATACTGTACCGCAAGTGTTAAGTACTTGTTGTGGTAACAACCACTGTTTACCTGCAATGCGTCTCGTCACTGTTTTTAGTACTTTTGCTTTAGTGTTCAAAGTTTCCTTGTTATGCGCAAAGAGGGTAGTTACAGTTACGCAGTCATTTTAGATTACTATGAATCAGACCACGGAGTTATCATTTCCATAACCTTAAAAAATATTTATTCGAGATGGTCTTTGTTCAAGACGTTTTTGTTGTCCCCTTGTCTTACGCCTTGGGTTGTCTTTCTTTTTCCTCCTGAGAAGTTGTGGCGATCGAGCTGGTTATCATTAAATCTTAACTATGTTTTAACTTTGACGGTTGCGTCAGTTGAAGGTTAAGTCAAATCCGATGATTCAAAACCTAACTTCCTACACAGCTCTAATAACTTTACACTGCTGATCAGTCAAACACTAGTCCCTTAAAACAAGTCCTTAACTACAAACCTGAGAAGGCCTCTGAGTTGAAAGAGGACATGATCCAGCTCGATGTAGTGTTATAATTTGTGGCTGCGCTTGTTTCCTTCCGAAAACTAGTTCATTACCAATGCACTTAATAATGCAGACAGTTTGAAAGTAATTGATGTGGATTGTTAATTGTTATTTATTGTGAAAGATTACAATTGGTTGTTCGACTCATAACAAAGACGGCGTCTTTCTCTTGTGCATCAAATCAACTCAATTTGCGTATTCTATAACTCATCGCCGTTTTGGTTTGCTAAAGAGAATGTGGCTGTAATTGAGTCAAAAACGAAAAACGTTCACAAACTTTGAATTAATGATTAGTCGTGTCGGCACTCGACTGCTGCACTTAAGCTGAAATACAAAGAACTCGTTAATTTGTCAATTGACCTCAGTGCATATTAAGTATAGGTACGAGTAAAAGTTACTTAAATCAGTTTCCTTTTCATGTTTTTCTAGAATGATTTATTCATAATGTGCCAAATCCTCCACTTACTTTCGCAAATTTAGAGAGCGCAAGACTATAGAAATTGTGCTCTTTTCAGGGCAAAACAAAAACTAGAAATAAATCTCTTTTTCATCTTAGAAAAAGGCCATGGAGTACTGAGGGCATAGAGTTCTCTGGATGACCAATGATCAAAGCAAAAGACTTACTCTTGGGATCAATGCAAAACAGTTTAATTCTGTTGTTAGTTATTTTCCTGACGTCCATACAGACTTGGAGGCATTTACGTCACCTGCAAATTATTATTACGTCCACAAAATTACACAAAATACCCTATGTAGTTATAAAGAGTAACTTGACATATGTTTGCAGTTTTGTCTTCACCTCAGTGTCCTCTATGGCATTGACACTATTGGCTCTCAGAATTATAAGAGAGTAACAATGAATCACAATATTTTTTTTCATCGAACTGAAGTGACAAATATCACCGGTATGAAAACTAAAAAAGTAAAGAAAACTGATCGATATACGGAGTGAATACGGAAAACGAAAAACAGCAAGTCGTTTACCTTGATCATATCCAGCACCAATCGCACCGTAATTTTGCATAACCTACTTTTGGTAGAGACGTCAGGGCGTTTTTATTACAACTTCTTTGTATGCTACATGTAATATTTTAAGCTCGAGGAAAAGGATTCGCTTATGCATTTTTGCCACAGATTGGAACCAGACATGACCTAAAAAAATTAATGACGTTAAAATGGTATTCACTCCCGGTTTAGATCGGATCCCTTTGCCTTACTTCCTTACGGGCGCACCCGCTTGTTTGCCCTGACCGAAAGCCTCACACTGTCTAGGAATTGCTGGTTGGAATTTTCAGAATTAATAGCTGAACTTTTTGTAATTTTGGTATTTCTTGGGAAGTGAAACACAAAATGAGTGTTGTCGTATACATGTTAATTTTTATTTTCCGAAGAGGCTCCCAGTGGCTTATGGGCCAACAACCCTCATCCCATAATAGTAACTATAAATCCACGCGGTGCACCACGGATCGTTCTTTTCGTTGGTATTTGGTGGAAGACCATGGGTAAGTATACACGTGTTTTTCTAAATTACTGTCTTTTTTTATCGATTAAAACACTACAAATACTGAGATAAACTTCAAAGAGCCTCCATTCACTCCTTTAAAACTATTTTTGTTTTCTTAAGGTAAGCCAAGAGGTTTAAGGACCGCTCGTAAACTCCGAAACCACCGCCGAGACCAAAGATGGCATGACAAGGGATACAAGAAAGCGCATTTAGGAACAGCACTGAAAGCTAACCCTTTTGGTGGTGCCTCCCATGCCAAGGGAATTGTTCTCGAGAAAGTGTATGTATTTAATGTTCTTCATTCTTGATTAAGAGTCTTTGTCTGAAGTATTTTAACAATCGCTGAGCAATTTGGCTATCATCATGGACTTGTACACTTTAGATTAGAAGAATGTAATTTTCCATCCCGTATCCTTGTCTGTGACACTGTTTGAGGTATTATTCCGCCGTTTGTTTGATGTGAGATCGTCGTTATATTTTTCAACGAGTAATATATGAAACTCTGCGGTTGTTTGAGTTAGTTGTCTTAAATTTATGAACGAGGTTAGAGTCACTGGATCGAGGGAAACCATGAATTTTCAGTGCTAAAATCCTCGAAAAGAAAATGTGATCTTATTCACTGGGCGGCCTGCCTTATTCCTGCCTAGAACAGCGGATTAACTCAGTCACCAGTTCACATACATACTCAAGGAATTCCCCACTACAGCTTAATGGTAGAATCACTGGATAATATGCCGTTCTCAGCCCGAGCTATGCTGCCATTTAAGTATACTCAGAATTATTGATACTTTCACTCGAAATATTCAAATTCCATCATAGGACTTCAATAAATAGAAACTTACTTTTGCTGAAAGGTAAGTTTTCTTGGCTGGGTTAGGCAAAGTGATACTGAAATCTGGAAGGTACATTTCCAGCATGAGGGCTGATCTCTCGATGCATTGTTAGTGTGGGGGAAGGGTGTTTATGAATTTTGGTTTTTACGCTGACATACTGGGTTTCCAGCAAGGGTTGCATAATTTAGGGCCCTGAATGAAGAAAATACATTAACCTCATTCAAAGCTCTGAAACTGAATTATTCTTGATAAACACATACTGGAATCTGTTTGAAGTGATCATTGTCTTGCTCAAACCTCCAGTGTTTTTGTTTTGGTGGTCATTGTTGGGTCACTTTCCAAAACAACTTTTTGTATTAATGAATAAGTGTAGTTATGCGTTGAGCATTTGGCATATTGAACTGATGACAACAGTTGACATCTAAATGTTTGTTTTGTAGGGGAGTGGAAGCTAAGCAGCCAAACTCTGCTATTCGAAAGTGTGTTAGAGTACAGCTCATTAAAAATGGAAAGAAGATCACTGCCTTTGTGCCAAATGATGGCTGCCTTAATTTCATTGAAGAAAACGATGAAGTTTTAATTTCTGGTTTTGGCAGAAGAGGTCATGCTGTGGGTGATATTCCTGGTGTGAGGTTCAAGGTTGTAAAGGTTGCTAATGTTTCACTTCTTGCTCTTTTTAAAGAGAAGAAGGAACGACCTCGATCCTAAATGGTGCCATAATGGTAATAAAAAAGTGAATTGCTCCACTGCTGTCTAACTTGTTTTTTATATAGCAGTTAGCTTCCCTTCCATTACCTTTGTTTGTAACAAAAAGTGAACGAATGAAAGGAGATTGAAAGAAAAAGTGACTTAAGATGTAGGAAACTACCCTATTCTTATTTGATAAAATGAAAGGGAACATAAGAGTCAGAGTTGCCTTACAATGGCTAGAGGCATCTCTTCCCCCCTTGTTTTTGCATTAATGTAGTGGTGAATCCCAATGCAAGGGAAAAAGTAGTGACTCATTATTTAGCTGCAAATATACCATGTTGACAGTGGATTTCTCCCCATACTATTGGAAGTGTAGTTGGTCATTTAAAGCGAAAAGGTTTGGAAAATCAACTCCTTGCTCATCTTGCAATATCTATTCTCACAATTTAGTTGATGCAATAGAAAGGGAAGATTGGTGTGCAAACATACAAGTGACACTGAAAGGAATACAACTCCACAAGATGTGAAGTGATTGTGCATTGAAAACCTAAAAAATAAGGCTATGGATTTCCAATGTCCTATTGAAAACAGGGCAGAGTAAGCCTTCATTGTTAAGAAAATGGTATTTAGAATTTGATGTGAATTGGGGTTAAAATTAACAATTGGTTCCTACGTCAACATGCGTTCATTGAGACATGAAGCATGTCTGAAGTTTGGAGAGCGTGAAAGATGCGCAAAAGTTGCTTGAGGCATAGCCAAGAGCAACTCTAGCTTTTTGAGTGCTCTCCAAACTTCCCAAGTGCTTCATATCTCCATGAACACACAGATGATGTATGAAACAATTGTTTAATGACATTTTCAACCCAAAGGAAAATTTTTTTGAGTGTGCACAATAGGAATATGAAGCACACTTGTGCAATTGAATTTGATTAGACAAATTTACTAGCTATGTTATAAGTCCTCTTGAGACACCCCACACATGCCAGAAACATGATAGCCAGTGTTTATTAGCATGCCGGTGTGAGCTTTAGTAAGAAACAGTGAGAATCTGGGTTACAAAGAAGAGTTTGGGTGAGAGGGAGCATCTTGGACTTGCTGAACATAGATTTGCAAAGCCAAGGTAGGTTTTATCCACCCTAGATGATATGGCACTACAGGGTGTGAAGATGATATGGTATAAGTACATCTCTTGCAATCATGCAGCTTGCCAGTTTTTAGAGAATTAACTTTTCATATCCAGTGATCTTGGGAAGTAGATGAAAGTCTTCCCAAGTCTGCTTTCTCTAAATCCTGCTTCCTGTGTCACTCTTAATCTCATGACAAAGAGATACTTTGATTGGTCTTGCAACATTAACCATTTTAAGACCATTATTTTCACATTTTCAGAAAAAGTATTTTTATTAACATTATGACAGTGGCCTTGAGTGGTGCAGTTTCAAACTTTGCAGCTTCCCACTATTGACAAAAGTAAAGTAGACTTAAAGTTTTAAAGGTACAGGGGCTATGATATCTAGAGTTCTCTATTTTTCAAAATGGAGAGTGCAGTTGTCTAGTATCGTTTCCTCTTCAATATCTCAGGTTTCCAACTCACAGGATGAGTTTCTTCACTCTGAAACAAAAACAAACAATAATTATGTCACAATACATGTATCCAGCACATTAACCTTAAAGCTTTTCAAGTAGCAAAATAAGGCAAAAGTGAAGGATTGTGTCTAAATAGAGACCCCATTTCAGGCAATTATTTCACTTAGAATAAAGGTAGTGATACTTACAGCTGTGTCGTCTTCTTTGTAGATCTTGACTGTTTTATCAGCTTCACATGTGATGAGTCGACTGCTACTCAAGTCAAAGGTCATTGCAAAGATACCAGCCTCACTATCCAGAGAGCCAGGTTGCACAGCTGCCTGTAATCGCTGGAAATTATAACCTGTACGCCAATCCCAGAAATGCATCGTTCCATTATCACCTGATAAAGCACAAAAATTATCTGCTCTTAGCCATCAACATATAAGAACACAAGTTATCTCTCAGTTCATTACACAGAGATGTGTCACTGGTTGAAGAATTGGTCATGTCTATGTTGTCTTTGATCCCCTTGACTCCATGTCAAAGATTGTTTAAAATATTCCTCACAAATGTGATAAATTATTCCAATGAGTGCCATTTCTTTGTGGAACACTTGCAGTTATAAAGCTTTTGCAACCTCAACTTTACCTCCTGAAACCAAGACACCATCAGGGTTAACTGCCATGCAATTCACTATAGAGTTGTGTCCAATCAGATTCTGAAGGAAATTCCCATCTGGGAACTTCCACTGTTTGATGTTGTCAGGAGAAGCTGAAGCAAATGAAAACCTTACAAGAAAACAAACACAAATCTCATTTTAAAGAGTCCTTTCACGGCACCCCACAGCTAGTTATTCAAAGTTATTCAGGTGTGATTATATTTGAGACAACCCTTTTGAAGCCATAAAGCAGGTTCACTTTTGAAGCTAACTCTAAGTTCTTCATGCCAGGTGGGGACTAGGGTCATGATCATGTCCCTGATTTGATTGACTGGAACTTGCTTAATTTCTTGATGAGATAGATGAACTCTTTTTAAAGTGATTCCTCAGAAAAGAAAGTTATAGAACAATTTTTTTGAACTTTCCTTAAATGTTCCCTAGCAGTTTCTGTTTAGAAAGATGCCATTAAAAAGGTAGGTCACAGTGCTTGTTTAAGAGATGAACATGGCCAAACTTACCCCATTTAGGCCTGTTCTGATACTAATCATGTATGTCATTTCATTGGTTTATGGTTCATTTTGAGGTAGCTTACCCCATTTAGGCCTGCTCTGATACTAATTGTGTGTGTCATTTCATTGGTTTGTGGTTCATTTTGAGGTAGCTGGAAGCAAGGGTTTTTTGGCTAACATTTTAAAAAAACTTAATAGGTAGATATTTTAGAGCGTATGGAACAATTTGATACATTATTTGTGGAAAATTCACCTAATTTTAAACTACATTGACTTAAAACATTCCTTGAGTCATTACTTTCAAGGTCATAATTTGCATCATGGAGTACCAGGCTTTGAACAAATTTTCAGCTTCATCTTTTTTTCCCTTTAATGAATTTTTTAAAATTCATCCAATTTATAGGGGATAATTTGTACACCAATATTATGCAATAAAAATATAGGTCACCATGCTTGTTCAAGAGCTGAAGACCATCCTACATCTTTACCTGGTTCATTTATTGAAAAACAATACCATGTTCTTGGAATGCATGCACATTTATTTCATTTTGTGATTTTTTTTTCACAGTACAAGATGCACAGTGCAGTAGTGAGGAATCACCTTAAATGACATTCTGATCAAGGAAGGGGAGGCATGTTACCAGTACTACATGGGTGTAAAAAACAAGGATTTAAAATTAGGGGAAAACATCATCAGGTATTGACTGACTGAATATCTAACTCTTGCATAGATCATGTCACCAAAAAATCAATCAGTAGACTGAGAAATGGAAGGATATGCTGACAAGCAGACAGATAGACAGACATACCCAGAAAGACTGACTGAGTGACTAATTGACTAGCTGACTGACATTTTACAGAACAACTAACTGATAAGCCAGTCTGGTGACAGGAAAACACAATGATTCTAGGTTTTGCATTCATATGTATCTGATTGTGTACTGCTACTTACTGTGTTGGATGTAACACTACAGATCTGACACTTTTCTTGTGATTAGTAAGGGTGACTTTAGACTTGCCAGCTGCCAAGTCCCACAGACGAATGGTACAGTCATGGCTTCCTGTAACAACCTAACCAAAAGAAAAACATGATCTCTGATTACTAAAATCTTTGTATAAAACATCTTCTGATCCTCACTTCACTAGTATTGTTTAATGCTGAAATAATTTCATTGACAGCTCCAGATGCTGAAAAAACTTCCCAGAGAACATTTCTGAGGATAATTGTTCAAATATGCCCTTGTGTTTTAGGTTACATAGATTGAAACATTGATAACAAAATTTATAATACGCCATTAGCCTGAATTAGAGTTCAAGGCCAAGGAATGCAGAGATAAACAACAACAAGAAAAAACTGGATCACTGAAATACTGATTTGCATTACATTTTCCATTTAAGTAAGAGATAATTATATAAACTGAAACAATAAATTAATGCCAAAACGCATCTGAATGTGTCTCAATGTATGACTATCAATTATGTGGAGAAAAAGTATCATGCATTTCTACCTGATGGTATTGAATAATCATCCTAGGTTAAATTAACAGGTACTTGTCTGAGGATAACTTTTCAAAGTGGAGCCAGCCATGTTATAGTTGGATCAAGCATTTTACTAACCTGAGGCTCTGCAGCCTGAGCTTTAACAACTGCTACTGTACTTGTATGACCTGTCAGAGTGTGTATGCAGGCTTTGGTTCTCATGTCCCAAACCTGAAAACAATAATCGATGTCTTGAGTCAATCTGAAAGGTTAATCCCTATACTTTATACAACATTTAAATTTCTTACAACAGAGTACTCACTGAAAGTTTGAAAATGATACTAAGGGTATCACTATGATTTTGTTGCATTCAATTGATTCTCAAGACACCCTAAAGTAGAAAACAGAGAAAGTCAACTGAATGAGAAGCTTTCTCCTGCGCGAAAGCAGTTGTGGTAGCTGGTACAAACCAAAAAAGTAGCTTGTTAATTTTGCCTGCTGCCAGTTCTACAAATACAACATCATGTTTCTTGTTATACTCATCATTGTTACCATCATTGTCGTTATAATCATCATATCCTTCACATGATAATGATAAACTGGCCCCAAATTTTAATGATTGTGCTCCAGAAGCCTTTCAGAAAAGGCGCACCAGTGTATTTGATATACTTTGATACAGAGGCCAGATGGTTACTGGTTCTGATAGTTATGTTAATAACAACTAAGGGTAGAAAATTCACCCTGGTTGTTGCATCTCTACCACAAGTGAACAACACATCAATTGTAGGATGGAGATCCAGTGAATAAATAGCACTCAGGTGACCATGGTAGTGCCGCACAACCTGCAAAACATTTACGACAAGAACAAGTTTTGATGAAAACAAATTGATAGAGTGATTGATGAGTAAGCATAATGAGTCATTTTACTCAAGAAATGTAAAAGTACCTTGTTGTACTCCAAGTCCCAGCATTTGACTTGTTTGTCCTCTCCACATGAAAACAGATATGGTTGTCTTGGACTCACAGCCAAACCCCTAACAGTACTTATATGGCCAGTTAGGGATAACTTAAGTTTGCCACTTCCAAGCTCCCATATCTGAATAAAATAAATCATAAGTTGTATTCAAAGATGATGTCATGAGAGATGGCATTCTTGTAAATAAATTGCCACAAATCTTACATCATTCCACAGCAAGAGATAAAAGCAATGCACACCAAGCAACTTAAACATCTAGGCCCTGGCTCACAGCTTCATATCTCAAGTAACTTGGTTAAAATTGAGACAAGCCTACTTTGATAAACCAAAAACCAGCCAGAAATATTTCAGTGGATGAACAGGCTAGGTTGCCTCTAACCAAAAAACCAGGTTGCCTCTAAAGAGACAAATCTTTAATGGGGTTGTTGTCCTATGTTGAAGGACTTTTTGCAACAACAAACATTTCATGTTTTTTTCTATGACAAAGTTGTCCATTTAGGGTCATTTCATAACATAAGTAATTTTGTATTTCAGTATTCCTTTTCAAATACAGCTATCCTGTTACTGTTATATTCAAATTCTTGTTTTACATAAAATATTCTTTTTGGAACAAGTTTCTGGTTTTATATAGAATTTGCATGGACAGCTGTTTAGGAACTTAAGTTGAAGGGAGGGTGGACAACAATAATTATTTAGATCAAGAAGTAACCCCAGCAACAAGATGTGTGCCTCTTTAAACAAGGCCAAAAAAGACAGTTAATCTTTATCTGTCACCAGCAGATCTTATGTTCAGAGGCTAAAGATTCGAAGATGAGTTAGACTTGAAATATGTTCTTGTTGTACCTTGATTGTCCTGTCAGCAGATCCTGTAGCAAACCACTGGTTACCAGGCTCTACAGCAACTGATCTTACCCAACCAGTATGGCCACTGATTACCTGCAACAAGAGTTATGGCGTAATCTAAAAAACAGAAAAACACTACAGTCCCACAAACTCAACTACTTTATTAAACAGCGAGTAATGTTCTTAACAAGGAGCCACTCCTAAACATAATATGATACTTATCGTTAATAAACTTAATTACGTCCAGCACAGTCTATATCCACAGTCTTCTGCAATAACTCTCTCTTAGTATAGCTTTCAAAACAGTTTTTGCTCTGATGATAACTACTTCTCTTACTACATAAGCGAGTCTTTATATACATTCACAAAGTGTTCTGGAACATTCCAGAAGCTTACACAAGAACTATTTTGGTAATATTACATAATAAATACATGACTTGATGAAATGTCCTGGAAAGTTCTCTGATATGTAAGTCAGCATGACTCAGCAGTCTGGAAATTTCTAGAAGATTATATTTACAATAATTTCTCATAGCACAAGTCACCAAAAGTCAAAGGCATTTTCAAAAATTATCGACAGGAGCTCATTCTCATCTTACTTGCAATTATCATCCAATATAATTACATCAGTGATATTGAGTATTTTAAAAATTGGTGAGCCCATAATACACATGCATCAAGTGCAAACACAAATAAAAAATTAAAATATGTTAAAGAAAAAGTACATACATCTTTGGTTGATTGACTAACTTTTAATTTTTCAGTAAAAAATGTATTTTCCTTTTTTTAAAGCCATCAATTCACAAATAAGATGAAAAGGCAAAGTTGTTACCCTCATGAGTTTCCATGGTGGATGCCACTGTGGTTTGGGCAAGGTTGCCGCTTTCTTTTGCTGAATTAATGCTGTCGATGATTTGTTTCCTCCAACAGAAACCAATGCTTTAGATGAAGGCCCAAGTCTCTCCTTTCCACCGGAGGCTGAAGCCTTCTGTTGAATGGCCAAAACACCTGGGCTTTCTTTCTGGGATTGGAGTCTGTGAGTTTTTATAAAAATTATGATTTAAACAGAATAAAAAAGTGATAATACAATCAAGCTCAGTTATTTAATTGAGTTTATGATAAATTTCTGAAAGATTATCTGCAGGTAGAAGTCCTTCAATTCAAGCAAACAATTCTTCTGTTCAGTCATAAAATTTCATATCTGTTAAAAGTAACAGCAACTATAGCAACTTTAAGTGGGAAATATGAAAATTGATAACAATTCCTTACAATTGTACAAGTATCTTGACAAAATACTCACTGTGCTGCTGAAGGTGGCAAACCTGACATGAGTTGTTGAACTCCAGCCTGCGATGGGGACCTTATGTTTGCTGCAGTGTCTGCAGTCAGTGCAACACCTAACATAAACAAAATCAGTTTTAAAAATACCTCATTGCTGAATTTTCAAAGAAAAATAATTGATGTGCTTCAGAAAATATAACATATACAAACTAATGTTGCCAAATATTCTTTACTGAAACTCAGCAAGTCGTGATACAAAAGTAAGGGAGACAAGAGTTTGAAAAAAGTTAAACTAAAGGAGTATTAAGGGTACAGCTGGCGTAGAAACACATTGTTGGTGTGTAACCACAGCTAACTTGTGTGGAACACAGCTGTAAATGTGCACCTTACAGGTAAAAGTTCACTTCAATTGTCAGTAAGATAATCTATCTAGAAGAGATGTTCCCTTGATCTCTTCTAAACTAAGATTTAAGTATTTGACCTTCCAGTACTTTTCAAGGTAATGAGCTTAAGTGACACAACAACTATACAGGATGTGAAGTTGTTAGAGATTACCTGGTGCTGATGGATAAGGATGTGATCCTTGTATTAATGGGGGCACATCTGAAACTGAGAACAAAAAAAGAAAGTCAACAGCCAATTTCATTTCCCTCAGGGAAATGACGCTTTTACACTCCTTCATTAGGATGACATTTCTCTTGTAAATGAGGGTTAGAGAAAATGGTGAATATTGGTAAGAAAAGAAAAAAAAGCATCAGTTCTCTAGTTTCACCCCTAAATGAAAATACTTCAAAACTTGAAAAGAAAATTTGGCTCCCTGAACAAATAACAAACATTTTTACTTGGTAATTCTAACACGAGGTATGTACATGATGCAACTTAATTCCATGCTTGGGTCAAATTTTATTCTTCACTGTTTCTAAGTTTAATACAAATCTGTGTGGGATAGATAGGAAAATAACATTTGGCCAAGTATGAATTGAATCAAAAGATATTTACTCTTCTTTAGTTTAAAGAGTGTCCCTTACCTTCTTGTGATGGGTACTCTCCAGTTGCTGGATTTCTGTTTGATGCAGTGTTTTCTTTAGCAGGAACCAAGTCTTTCACCACAAAATATTCATCACGAACTTTGCATAATCTTTTCACTTCATCACTATGTAAAAAAATGTCAAAATGTCTCAAAGCAGTTTAAACTTCATTTCCCTTCCTTGGAAAGATGACCCACTATGACATTACAATGTCAAAAACATTAAAGTTTGATAAAACTCTGCCCAATAAAATTTATTCAAGCTACAGACCATACTTTCTACCCATTTACTTGCCAAATAACTCACATGGGATGTTGGGGGAACAACAGAAAAGTTTGTAAATCACAAGCCACAGTTTGCAGACTTTCCAAGTGTTCTTCCCACAACTGAAGTGGGTTATTATAACAGCTAACTTGTAGAAAGTGCAGTTTATTGCTTTTGCAAAGTAAACTTACAACAACAACAAAAAATTTCTATGGGTTTACTGGTGCAATAAACAACAGGTTTTTGTCTAGTCAGGGTGCTCATAGTACCACAACCATTTTCTAAAAATTACCAATTCTACAACTGAGGAAAGACATGAGATGTATATGTATGTTCAATTCTTTGCAATTTGGAAAGGACTTATCCCTTCATATTTCACACTCCTCGTTTATCACTTGCAAGGGTTAAGTTGTGAACCAAATATTTTTGGAACTCAGATTAAGCTGTCAGTTACTGGTCACAAAACTGGTTAACGCTGAGAAGTTGCGAACAAAAAAAAAATGTGACATTTTCAGGACCTTATCCTATTTTTCGGATCTACAATCCATTTCGTCAGAGATTACAAAGAAATTATGCGAAGAGTAGGTGTTGGATACCTACTACATTGACATTTAAACAAAAAGAATAGTATGCTAGATGCGCTGAGGCCATTCTAAAGCTATTCTACTGAAATCAATAGATTACTATTCTGAAATAGCACCAAAAAATTTGCAATTTACACTCCAAGGCAAAGGATTCTTGTAAGAACCAAAGGTAACTTATCTTCAAACACTACCTTTTTTGATCCCTTTTCAGCGGTAGAGCGTTATCATGAAGAAACATATCATGACTTCTCTTCAGAGAACGAAACACAAGGGTGTGAACTGAATGCTTTACAATGTCCTGAAACAAAAAATACTCATTGAATCAGTTAAAAGAATGAGAGAAGGTTGCAAGCGCAAAGAACCAATTTACCTCCGCCATCTTGAATGTTGGTACTACGCATAATCTTTTAATGTTCAACCGCTGATTGCTAGTCCTGCTGTGGAAGATCGAGAGAAGCTGGTAAAGAGAAGATTCTCCCGCCACTTTCTGCCAGACGCTTCTGGACATTAAGGAGAGAGTATTTTACTTTTGTTAACGGACACATAAGAGCTTCGAATCGGAAGAGATGACTGAAGATATTGACGAAGCGATGATGAAGACATTTGTACACAGGGTGTTCAGGAAGAGCGATAACATTGGGTAAGTTGAGAAAGATGTTTATTTTTGTCTTGTCACAAACGTGGGACAAAGAAAAAATTCTGAGTACCCCATGAGGAATCGAACGTCAGACCTTCGGATTCCGCGCTCCAATGCTCTTAGGTTGTTGCTCCGCCAAACTGCAAGTGTACCCGCAAATAACCATAAATTGATCCAATATTGCTCCAATGGGGCTAGTCTGCGAAATTTCCAGCCAATCATTTGCATAGAATTGAATATGAATAGTGACTATCGATTTATTCCCTGTTGCCCTGAGACTTCTCGCAAGAGTCTTTTTCTGATCTTCCCCTTTCTTAAAATTTATATTAGGGGTCAAAGAGCGTGTCCTTTGTGGCTCTGTGTTGGTGTCCCTGGCCCTAAATTGTAAATGTTAATGGTCCAACTATGATTCCCACAGTTTATAGAAGAGTTCCTTTACTTTAAATTCTCAAACAAACTTTGTATGTTTACTCTCAGCTACCTCCTTTGATCATATTCAGTTATCTTAAAAAAGATAAGACCTGTGACAGATCCATTTTGGATTAATCCAGTGTTCAATTTTAGTTTCCTTGATTTTTTGATGTAGGAGGCTATCTGTCAAATCATTACGTCATCAATTTCTTGAACACCTGGGATTAGAGAAACTGGAAGCTGACCAGAGGGAAGTCTTCAAAAAGACTGTGCATAATGTCTATGCTTTTTATACTAATAAAAATCAAGGGCAAAGTGAAGGTGATCAAGGTGAATTTGATATAAATATACTTACTTATATATAGAACTTTTTCAAGGGTGTGATGCTAGAGAAGGTAATTCAAGGGTTAATATTGCAAGGTAGGGTGGGGGCTGGGGGTTAGAAACTGTAAATGTTATGAAAAGATAGACAGGGTTGTACCTAGGAGTAACAGTCAATTGTATACTGTGGGCACCAAGGTAAGGGTATCTTGGGAAAAAGCTCTTGTGGGTGACAGATTGTCATGAATAACAGTCATTCATAAGACCTCAAATCTATCTCTACTCTTACTCCAATAATGTTTTCGTATAAACTTTTGGCTATGTCAACGTATCTTTGGTTTTGTCTTCAATTCTGCCGTAGCGCGAGTTTGTTCAAGGATATTTTACGTTTGCTAAACGGTGTTTTAAACTCAAAACAAAAAACATGCTCTTTCTTTAAGCTGGTTATGAATATGCAAGTTCTCGGGGGCTGTATTGTTTTGATGAAACAAAAGGCTTCTTTTGTTTCGGCTTCATTCAATGAAAGCCGCTACGAAATTCAAGGTTTTTTGCATACGTTATTTCTCGAAAACGAAGCGCAAACCAGCGAAAAAAAAACCAAAACAGTGTATATCGAGTAAAACTAAGTCCACATGCCAAAATTCAACTACTTCTGAACACTTTCAAAAATGGCCGAAAAATCAAGGGGTCGTTCTTGCTCTGAGCCTTTCAATTATCACACTTAATAATTAAATGGAAGAATGGCTTTCAGGTGGTGATAAGGAGAGTGTTAAAAAACAGTCGCCATTTTCAAAATATACTTTCAGTGTACATTTCCATCATTTAAATAATATTTTGACAAATATTCTAGTTCAAATAGATCAAGTCATCCATGATTAGCTTAGCTTGAATATATTCAGAGCTGTTAGACAGGGACAGTAGCAGCTGGCTACTTTCATCTCATTTTATTGTCATTACTGATGAAAAACTGTGCAATGATTGAAATACTATCTGAAATTTTTGAAAGAGCTATTTGTAAGTTTTGAGAGGAACTGAGTTATATGATATATCAGTGACAGTTTTGTAAGTGTACATATTGCCATTGTGACGAACGTTCAGCAAGCGAACTGAACTGAAATGAACTGAACTGTTTTGTTTTGTGTGATTATCTACTATAGTTTAAATTCTATTATCGTTTCATTGTTCATTCTTTTAATCATTTATCAGAGCGTATTTGATCATGTTATTAGCCGCCTATCATGTTTAAAGCCTGTTGCTTACATAATCTCTGTAGTATCACATATCGGAGTGTCGGAGTAAGTTATCGGAGTATATCCATCTAGAGTTTTCTATCGGAGTTATAGGAGTTTTCGGAGTAACTGGGTCACTTTCCCACGGAGTTTCCTTTACCCTTTTTACGCAGGATCAAACTTTTCACTGCATTGTAACACGTTGTACTCAATAAAAACTGGAATGAGACGGATGTGTATATGTGGTTGACACTCAACGTAATCCCAACACTTGTTTAGCATATACTCAATGGTTGGTGTAAGCATGGTGGGATGCTGGGACATTTTAGCTGGAGAGG